TGATGATGTATTAAATGATGATACACGGCCGTGTCCCGGACGCTGTGAGCGGATCGTTGGATTCGTTAGTCGATTGATTAATTATTATAGACCGACAGACCCGGTCCATGGTCCTCGGCTTTTTACTCAAGGTTTGCCAGCTATTCCCCGACTGTTCGTGACCCAATTCTACTTCTGCCGACTGATTGACTCGCGAGTCGATAACAGTTATCTCCGCCAGTAATTATAATAATACCTTCTCCTCGTAGGCGACAACGATAGTAGTGATAGTGATAACAGTAATGGTTACGTTAATGATAATGTTAAACGATGATACACGGTCACGTCCGCGACGCTACGGGCGAGTCAATTGATTCGTCAATCGATTGATCAATTGTAGACCGACAGACCCGGTCCATGGTCTTCGAACTTTTCTTTTTCTCCTCTCTTTTTCTCGGAGGTTCGCCGACGATCCTCAATTGTTCGCGATCCAATTCTATTTCTAACGACTGGCTGGCTCGCGAGTCAATAACAGTCATCCCCGCCAGTGATAATAATAATACCTTCTCCGCGCAAACGGTTACGATAGTAGTGACAATAGTAACGGTAATGATTGCGTTGATGATAATGTTTAACGGTGACACGCGGCCACACCCCTGATGCCACGGGCGAGTCCATGGGGTCGTTGATCGATTGATCAATCGACTGCGGACCGACAGACCCGGTCCATGGTCCTCGATTTTCTGCTCGGTAGTTTGCCGACGATTTTTTCATCGTTCGCGACTCGATTGTATTTCTATTAATTAGCTGGCTCGATTTGACGTGAATATATTGATGCTAATAGTAAGAACAATCAATAGCGATCTTTTCCGCAAATGATACTGGTGTCTCCTCCCGATCCACAATTACAATAATGATTGTAATGATAGTAATAATAGTGATGGTAATAATAATAGTAGATGATGGTGCACGGTCGCGTCCCCGACGTTACGAGCGCGTCAATCGATTCGTCGATCAATTGATTGATTATAAACCAACAGACCGGGTGCATGGTCCTCAGCTTCCCTCGATTATCCGCTGACGGTTCCTCGATCATTCGCGATTCTATCCTGTTTTTGCCGATTGACCAACTCGCGAATATATCTATGTCGATGGTAATGGGAATTAATGAATATTGATCGTGGGAGTGTATCATCGCGGACATTATCTCGGACAGCGACAGTGGTAATGCTGACGACAGCGATAATCTTAATAATGGTACATGGCCACGTTTCTTATCATACAAACCAGTCGATGCAACATCAGCGAGTCCGATGATAGTGACAGCGGCAGTAATAATGATGTCAGTAACGGCGGTGACAGTCATGACGTCGGTAAGTTTCTTTGAAGAGAAAGGAACAAGCAACAGAGGAGACACCCGCGGCAGCAAGCTCCGGCGGTTCGCGAGGGTGTCTCCGATTGCTTCTTTCCTTTCTCTTTTATATATATGTAAGGCAGGTACGCGTCCTGCTCGGGGCTCGGACCTTTCTAGGGATATACCTATAGTATACTAGATCTATCACGTTCGAAGCGTTCGCCTGGTTTCCGAGTTTGCCGGGGGTCATTCGTGTCGAGTCGTTCATTATCCGTGTTTCGTAGGCATGTTTCTAGGTTGTGCCCCTTCGTCCTCGTCTCAACCGTTCGATCCGTCCTTTTCCCCCGTTTTCCTCCAGTCCTCGTCGACTCCGTCGGTTCCTTGTCGTTCACCTGTTTCCTCATTCTCCTAGATTCGCAATGATCACGGATTAATCGTATATAATTGTTACAGTTTTAGCTATATCATTCTTATCGCAGTCGGATCGTTTACCTTTTTTACCCGTCGTGTCAGGTTCTGTACGGTTTCATTGAAAATCGCGTTGGGAGTATACATATTTATGTGTGTATATATTTGTCGACTCTAGTTCGACCTTTTACTCGTGTATGAATGCCTCGCCTCTGTTCTATTCGGATTAAGCGGTATCCTTTACGTCAAAGGTGAGCGATAACCCGTCCGGAATCGTTATAAATCGGACTACCAGGTGTCTGAAACAAATTAGACCGTTCCCGGTCCCTAGCTACTTCTCTCTCTTCCCGCCCGATCGTTGTTACGGACGACACAGTGTTCGAGTTAAGAGAGTATGTATGTAAGTATGTATTCATTGTCTCACCGACCTGTCGCTCCGTGGTTTACCATGCGTTCCCTTGTTGCTCTCTCTCCTGGCGGCTGACTTCACCGTCGGCGGTTTCTCTGCGGCTTTTACAGTCTCCTCCTGCAGCGGGAGCGAGATCGTCAACTTGGACGAGGCGTCGGAGGAGTCTTTGTCAGTACTGGCGGTGCCTGAGTCGTCCTCTGTTTCCACGTGTCTTCGAGCGAACTTTATCGTTCTACTCTTCGTCCTCTCTTTCTCGTGCGAGAAGCCATCTTCTGTTTTCGAATGCACCACTTTCGGCGTCGACGTCGAGGCCAACGAAGCCTTATTGCTGTTACTGTTTCCATTGTCGTCTTTGTTGCTGTTGTCTCCGTGATTTTCCACTCACCGTCCGTTACCGGGGAACTCCTCGTTCTGCACCTCGACTTCTATGTCCTCGAAGCCGTGCAAATCCGCTGACAGAATGTGTTCGTCTCCCTCTGCATCGGGAGTCGTGATCTCGTCCTTCGGCGACGGAACCTCTTCGATGCGTGAGAAATCGTCAAGGGTCGTGACCGGAGCGTTCAACCTCTCCGCGTCGTCGGGCTGTGCCTTGTTTTCCACTGCCGGCGCGAAATCGTCCTCCGTGACCTCAACCTCCGTGTTCTCCCTGGCTGTCCGTTAATATATTAAACTTGTGAACGCCCGCTTGGTCTAATGACGAACGATTCCGTCTCTTACGAGTGGTCCCGGCCGATCGGCCCTTCATTTCGATCGTTATTACCAATCCGGCCCTTGTATGCTTTCCCTCACGGCCCTCGATCGCATTACCTCCAGGCCTGCGTTGTATCTCCCGAGTTCGCGAACGAAGTCTCTCCCGTTAAACTGGGAATGCGTCGCTCTATCCTCGACTATAAATCGGTTGTCGAGAGCTTCTATCTCGTCTACGCGGAGCTCACATTCGCCGGCTAACTTCACGAACTTGATCGCTACCCTTAGCCGTTTCACTGTTGTTTCTTTGTCGCAGGCTGACGGGACGCCGCCGTTCTTTCGGGATAACGAGAGAAAACCTGGTTGCACGTACGGCAAGGATTTGTTCCTACGCGCCTCGATGTAATTTATTACGCATTGGTTAAGCGCGTCGTCGAACTCCTCGGCCTCCCTGAAGGTCAGGATTTTTACCGGGGAATCCTCGTGGAACCACCGTTACCTGATGCGGGTCTCCGAACTCGTTTCTAACAAACTGACGATTCATCGCGAAAATTCTCAGGGTTTTCTAAGCGTACGTAAACCAGAGAAGCGCTCCGGTATCGAGGATTAGCCTGTACAAATTATTGCTCCGCGTTCGCGCTCTGACCTTTTTCTCTCTTTCTCTTTTTTCGATGCTGCAAGCGAGTCGATGGATTCGTCAACTGATTGATTAATTGCAGACCGACAGACCCGGCCTATGGTCCTCGAATTTTCTGTTCAAGGGTTCGGCAATGATTCCTCGATTGTTCGCGACTGAATTCTACTTCTGCCAGCTGACTGACTCACAAGTCAGTAGCAGTCATCTCCGCCAGTAGTAATAATGATAATACCTTCTCCACGCAAGCGATAATGATAGTAGTGACAATAGTAACGGTAATGGTTGCGTTAATAATAATGTTGAACGGTGACACACGGCCACACCCCTGATGTTACGAGCGAGTCCATTGGTTCGTTGATCGAGTGATCAATCGATTGTAGACCGACAGACCCGGTCCATGGTTCTCGATTTTCTGTTCGGTAGTTCGTCGACAATTCTTTCATCGTTCGCGACTCGATTGTACTTCTATTAACTGGCTGGCTCGGTTTGACGTGAATATATTGATGCTAATTGTAAGAACAATCAATAATGATCTTAATCGCATATGATACTGGTGTCTCCTCTAGACTCACAACTACAATTGTAATGATAGTAATAATAGTGTTGGTAATAATAGTAGATGGTGGTGTACTGCCGCGTCTTCGACGCTACGAGCGCGTCAATCGATTCATCGATCAACTGATTGATTATAGACCGACAGACCGGGTGTATGGTCCTCTGCTTTTCCTCGATTATCCGCTATCAGTTCCACGATCATTCGCGACTCTATCCTATTTCTGCCGATTGACTAACTCGCAAATATATCTATATCAATGGTAATGGCAATTAATCAATTTCGATCGTGAGGGTGTATCGTCGCGGACATTATCTCGGACAGCGACAGTGGTAATGCTAACGACAACGATAATCTTAATGATGGTACATGGCCACGTTCCTTATCGTACAAACCAGTCGATGCAACACCAGCGAATCCGATAATAGTGGCAGCGACAGTAATAATGGTGATGTCAATAACGGCGGTGACAGTCATGACGTCGGTAAGTTTTCTTTAAAGAGAAAGGAACAAGCAACAGAGGGGACACCTGTGACAGCAAGCTCCGGCGGTTCGCAAGGATGTCTCCGATTGTTTCCCTTCCTTTCTCTTTTATGTATGTAAGGCAGATACGCGTCCTGCTCGAGGCTCGGACCTTTCTAGGGATATACCTATAGTATACTAGATCTATCGCGCCTGGTTTCCGAGTTTGCCGGGGGTCATTCGTGTCGAGTCGTTCATTATCCGTGTTTCGTAGGCATGTTTCTAGGTTGTGCCCCTTCGTCCTTGTGTCAGCCGTTCGATCCGTCCTTTTTCCTCCGTTTCCCTCTAGTCCTCGTCGACTTCGTCGGTTCCTTGTTGCTCACCTGTTTCCTCATTCCCCTAGATTCGTATGGGATGCAATGATCACGTATTAATCGTATATAATTGTTGCAGTTTTAGCTGTATCCTTCTTATCGCAGTCAGATCGTTTACCTATTTACCCGTTCATTGAGAATCGCGTTGGGAATGTACATACTTATGTGTTTATATATATGTCGACTCTAGTTCGACCTTTTACTCGTGTGTGAATGTCTCGTCTCCGTTCTATTCGGATTAAGCGGTATCCTTTACGTCAAAGGTGAGCGATAGCCCGTCCGGAATCGTTATAAATCGGACTATCGGGTGTCTGAAACAAATTGGACCGTTCCCGGTCCCTAGCTACTTCTCTCTCTTCCCGCCCGGTCGTTGTTACGGACGACACGGTGTTCGAGTTAAGAGAGTATGTATGTGAGTATGTATTCATTGTCTCACCGACCTGTCGCTCCGTGGTTTACCATGTGTTCCCTTGTTGCTCTTTCTCCTGGCGGCTGACTTCACCGTTGGCGGTTTCCCTGCGGCTTTTACAATCTCCTCCTGTAGCAGGAGCGAGATCGTCAACTTGGACGAGGCGTCGGAGGAGTCTTTGTCAGTACTGGCGGTGCCTGGGTCGTCCTCTGTTTCCACGTGTCTTCGAGCGAACTTTATCGTTCTATTCTTCGTTCTTGTGCTAGAAGCCATCTTCCGTTTTCGAATGTACCACCTTCGGCGTCGACGTCGAGGCCGACGAAGCCTTATTGCTGTTACTGTTTCCATTGTCGTCTTTGTTGCTGTTGTCTCCGTGGTTTTCCACTCACCGTCCGTTACCGGGAAACTCCTCGTTCTGCACCTCGACTTCTATGTCCTCAAAGCCGTGCAAATCCGCTGACAGAATGTGTTCGTCTCCCTTCTGCATCGGGGGTCGTGATCTCGTCCTTCGGTGACGGAATCTCTTCGATGTGTGAGAAATCGTCAAGGGTCGTGACTGAAGCGTTCAACCTCTCCGCGTCGTCGGGCTGTGCCTTGTTTTCCACTGCCGGCGCGAAATCGTCCTTCGTGGCGTCAACCTCCGTATTCTCCCTGGCTGTCCGTTAATATATTGAACCTGTGAACGCCCGCTTGGTCTAATGACCAATGATTAACGATTCCGTCTCTTACGAGTGGTCCCGGCCGATCGGCCCTTCATTTCGATCATTATTACCAATCCGGCCCTTGTGTGCTTTTCCCTCACGGCCCTCGATCGCATTACCTCCAGGTCTGCGTTGTATCTCCCGAGTTCGCGAACGAAGTCTCTCCCGTTAGACCGGGAATGCGTTGCTCTATCCTCGGCTATAAATCGGTTGTCGAGAGCTTCTATCTCGTCTACGCGGAGCTCACATTCACCGGCTAACTTCACGAACTTGATCGTTACTCTTAGCCGTTTCACTCTTGTTTCGGGACGCCGCCGTTCTCTCGGGAAAACGAGAGAAAACCTGGTTGCGCGTACGATAAGGATTTATTCCTACGCGCCTCGATGTAATTTATTGCGCATTGGTTAAGCGCGTCGTCGAACTCCTCGGCCTCCCTGGAGGTCAGGATTTTACCGGGGAATCCTCGTGGATCTACCGTTACCTGATGCGAGTCTCCGAACTCGTTTCTTACAGACTGACGATTCATCGCGAAAATTTCCAGAGTACGTAAAACAGAGAAGCGTTCCGGTATCGAGGGTTAGCCTGTACAAATTATTGTTCCGCGCTCGCCCTCCGACCTTTTTACCTACTCTTCAGCTATCCCTTTCGTTCTATGCTCTGGCATGCAACGAACGTTGTCTAGGGCGTTGGGATTGGCCAAGGTGGCCCCTTCCGTCTGGTTTATCTCTCCTTGGTATGCACCTACCGTCTGTACCTTCATAGTGTATTCTGGAGACTGGATTATCCCTTCCATGTTATGTTCGTGCCCTCTCTCTGGTTCCCGCTA